CCCGCCTCCAGCGCCCAGCCTGGGCGCACCTGGCGTCAGGTCCCCGCTCTCGCTGGGGCGACGCCCATACTGGGCCCGGCTCAAGCGGGTCAGGGGTGGCCCCACCCCGCCGGGTCGGTGCCCAGGCTCACGGGAGGCGCAGGACTCGTCCTTCCCTGTCCCTCTTACTTCAAAGGGAGCCTCGTGGGAGGGGCAAGGGGGCACAAAGAGAAAGTGAAACCGGAGCGGCCAGAACTGGCGGGGCAGGTTCCCGCGCAGACCCGGTCTCTTCCCAGGGGAGGGGGGCCGCCAGCCCCGCCCCCAGACCACACTGCTGCCGCTCAGGCCTGCCCACTTGGTCACCCGCAGACACTGGGCCTGGTCCAAGCCCCCCCCACCCCCCGCAGCCGGGCGTGGACAGGGGCTCTCGGCCAGGCGCGGAGGGAGACCTGGGGGCAACGGCCCCACCCCCCCGCGCGCTCTCAGGCCCCCGCCTGGATGTGCGCAGGCGGGCGGCAGGCCACGAGCAGAGTGGCCCCGTGGGCGCCCTCCGTGTCACCCCGGCCCCATCAGGCCAGCGGGGAGCAGCTGTGCCAGGGTCTCCGCCTTTGGCTGGGGGCAGCGAGGCCCAGGGAGGGACACGGCGCCCGGAGCGCTGACGGGCCACGGCGTGTGGCGTCTCCCACGTCCGCAGGCCCGGGTGGGGGCCAGGGCTGGGGGCACTGGCACGTGACCGCGAGAGCCTGGACCTGGATGCGCCCCCACCCCCACCCCGCGGGCTGGACCCCTCCTGTGCCCAGCTGAGCCTGGGCAGAGCCCGGCCAGGCCATGCGCCCGCAAGGCTCCACTACTCAGCCAGGCGGGCACCAAACTCACATGCGTGGGGCCCGGCAGCACGGGGCGACGGGCACACGCCTGCGCTCCTGCCTGCGCTGCCGGGCCGGGATCGGGGCTCGGGGGTCTGTCCAGGGGCGCCCGGCGCCGGCGGCCACAGCCAGCGAGGCCGTCGCTTCCCAGACCGGGATCCTGCCGTCAGGAGCCAAGGCCCCACCAGAGCGAAATTACCAGCTCTCCCGGGGGTCTGTCCCACAGTCTCCCCACGTTCTTACTGGGGCCGCGCCGACCCCGGTGTCCCCCCAAGTTTGGGCCTGTGCCCCGATTTCCCCAGCTGCAGAGCAGGCCGGTGGCCAGTGCCCGGGCATAGCAGAGGCAGCTTGGCCAGCACACCTGGGCAGTCAGCGACTGCTGCGGCCAGGCCGCCCGGGTCCCAGAGTGGACGCCGCCGGGAGGGCCCCTCCTGGCGCGTGGGGGGCTGGGCTGTGGCTCCCTCGGCGCCCGGGCCCTCGGCCCAGGAGACGCTCACCACAGGCTGAGTCACACGAGGGGGGCATGGCTGTGCCCGCCTCTGCCTGGTGGGGGGCAGCGCCTACGCCCTGTCCTCAGTGACCCACTTGGGGACACGCCAGCCCAGCAGCGGGGCTCCCTCCGGCCCGGCCAGGTGGGCGTTGCCGCCTGACAGCTGGGAGCTCTGCTGCTGGCCGTGCAGGGCCGCAGGGCCGCAGGGCTCAGGAGCTCAGAAGCGGCCCGGCCCTGGGGAAGCGCAGGGCGGGGTCTCCCAGGCGGCACGGTGGGCGCGGGGAGCCCCTGGGGCTCGCGGGGCTGGGGGCGGTCCGGTCCGGGCCCTCCGCTTCCCCCGGCGCCTCTTCAGCCCCGCGCCCCCACGGCCCGGCCCCGGCCTTCACCGGGGCGTGGAGCAAAGGCCCCTGGGATGCCGCAGGTTGTGCAAGCCGGGCACACCCGACCCGGCGAGAGTCTGGACGGCCGCCAGGCTTGGAGCCAGCCCGGGCCTGGGAACCAGGCTGAGGAGCCCGGGGCGGCGGGTGGAGTCGCCAGGTCCACCCACCTGGGAGAGGCCCGCGGCCAGTGGCTGCTCCCCAGCCGCACCTCCGCCCAAGCCGCGCTGGCACTGACCCCCAGGCCGGGCCCAGTCCTCCCAAGCCCGGTCCAGGAGCAGATGGACAGCGGGACGGACGGGGCCCCTATGTGGGTACTCAGAGCAGCACCGCAATGTGGGGGTGCTGACACTCCCCACTGCTGGCGGGGGCGGCCTGGTCAGCCTGGACAGAGCCGAGGGCGGGCCTGAGCTGGGGTGTCCTTACCCCACCGGGCGGCAGCAGGCTTGAACAGAGGAGCAGCCAGGGGTCTGGGTGCCCGACCAGCTGGGCCTGACACAGCGTGCGGCGCCCACCCCCCAGGGCCACACCCACTGGGCCCTGCCCATCAGCACCCAGCAGTCCAGCACCGGTCACCCCACCGCCCCCCACGGTGGCGGCCTGGCTGGGCCTGACCCCAGTGGTTGGGCTGGAGCGCGGTGCACGGGGCCACCGGGAGGGGCGTGAGCAGGTCCCGACGGGGGTCTGCCTGGGGAGGGGACCTCCAGCCTCCACGCCAGCTGGAGGAGAGGGTGGGCAGAGGCGGCGTGGGGGAGGGCGCAGCGGGCGGAGCCCGCCGGCCAGGCCCTCCCACCCCTGGTGCTGAGGACACTGCCCTTTGACTCAGCGCCTGAGGCAACTCCCCACACAGCCCACGGGGCCGGCCTGGACAGAACCGCGGGCCACGCTGGGGCCTCGGGGCAGCGACCGCCAGACTTTATTGCCACCTCCAGCAGAGGCCGGGATCGGGCGGGGGCGGGGCTGCGGGCGGCAGGTCGGGGCAGGCAGGACGCCTGGCTGCGGTGGCCGCCTCGGAGAGACCCACGCGGCACTTCCTGGAAGTGGGGGTCCGTAGCGCTGGGCCGGTGGGGGCAGACGTGGAGCGGGCATCCGTCGATGGGTGGGTCCCAGGCCCACTGCCGGGGGTGTCCCGGGCGGCCTGCTGAGGCCCGAGGGCTGGGGAGGAGGCAGGAGGGGCACCG